TAAAAAAAAAAAAAAAGAAGTTCTTAAAGAAGAGAATTTCTTAAGAAGTACCAGCTTTTTTTCCCTAAGTATGACGGTGGATCCAAGTGTAGTTTGTATATAAAGAACAATTCCCAGAAGGGCAGGGATACCATCAAGGGATAAATAGGCCTGCAGAAAAATGATAACTGATGATTGGAATACCATTTCCATGTGGCCTGACACTTTTGTGAGATTGAATGTGCTACTCCTGAAAAGACTTTCAGAGCAAATTATAATTATTAAGGTGATCTTCAAGACATTGAACATGGAGAACTCTTTTAATAAACACTTGTTGATTGATTGCCACTAGCCCAGAGGAGAGAGGGATGCTTGAATGACTTCTTTCACTTAGATGAAAGTGGACTAAAGCTTGTTCAAAGTCTTAGAAATTAGACGGATAGAAAGGGTGATAAAAACAAGTCTCTGGTTTTACTTATGCCTGTCAGACATAACCTCAACTGAGACCAGTTACTGAGGACTAGTCATTTATTCTTATTCTTATTGGCATCTCTAAAAGGTCTTGTGATTTCATATGATAAATATTTATGGTCTAGACTTTTTGCCATCGTGAGAATAACTGAACCTTATCAATTGTTCATCCTGTCCTCCTCCATTCCATGTTTTTCCTGGTATGTGGGTTCACATTCACCTTGAATTATGTTAATTCTTTTACTTGAGCTAAAACTCTGTCACTGTTTTCTCCCTTTCCAGGGCTCTCTGATTGCCAACATGATTCTAGGAATCATCATTTTGAAGAAAAGGTAAACAGCGTCCTGTATAGTTTGTGCATACAAAGGGTACCGTGCACACAGACCCGTGCCCTGAATTCCTTTTCTCACACTGGTGCTAAGTTTGCTCCTGGCCATGTACTTTCTGTCTTAGTTCTTTCTCTGAAAGTGCAGTTGGCCAGGGCAGAGGTTGTGGCTTTGGAGCAGCATCTTCTCTGTAGAACTCATTTGCTGTTGTCCTCACTGAGTATTGGCACCATGCTAATCTTTGGTGCCAACTGATACAGAGCTTCACTGAGTGGTATGGTCACCGCTAGCTGCTTGGCGCTATTTAAATTGTTTAAAAATGAAATAAATTCAGTGGGTTGCTTCTCAGTCTCCTTATCACATTATAACTGTTCAGTAGGCACCTGTGGTCAGTGAGGACCATACTGAGGAGCCCCGATAGGGTACACGTCCAGCAGGAACAGAAGGAGTTTCTGGCGACAGTTCTGTCCAAGATGCTGCTTATCAGTGCAGCATACGAACTAGGAAATAACCATACTTATTAGAAAGGAAATTCTTGATCAAAGCCCACGTAGCCAAGAAGGTAGAATTGAAAAGGCTCAGCTCTGTTCTTTGTGACTGCTGCCAATGGCTTTCTTGGGTAGGAGTGGGAAGTTTCTTACTTCTGTGATGCCTTTTCAAAGTTTTTGTCTCCTGTCTTCATTCTGAGTCTCCCTGTTACTGTAAGGAAAAGGGACATGGGGGAACGAGAGCACATAAATCTGGGAAATTTCTCTGAAGGTTCACTCACTACTAAGACTAGAATTGCAAGGGCTGGGGAGATAGCTCAGCAGCTTAAGCACCTGCCTGGCAAATGCAAGGTCCTGAATTCAATCCCAAGTACAACAACAAAAGACCAGAGTTGGATTTGGCTGTGCAAATTTCTTAATGTGTTCAGTCCCAGCCTTAATATTAAAACTCTATGACAGTTTGCAAAATAACTGTCAATTCAGAGCATGGGAACCTATAGTTTTTAAGTAGTAAAAGCCGTGTCATAAAAAAGACAGTTGTCCTGCCTGACTGGGCTCTTGTATGGACCCTTTATCTCTTGAGATAGCCACCCTTAGAATTGATTTCTTTCTAAGGGAGGGTAGGGGGATGGGGGAAAAAGAATTAAATTATATCATACATATAAAATTCTGTATAATGAATGTGATCACTATTAATACATAAAGTGTACCATAAATATAATTTTGAAGAATTGATTTCTTTTTTTCTGGATTCATTTTATTTATACACATGCATGTAATGGTCAGATTTGATGTGTCCAAGGTGGTCAGTGTGCTTCTAGGTAGCACAAACTTCACAGGAAGGCAGAAGTGTGTTCTCTTACAGCCTTTGCTTTCAGTCGTAAGAGGGATACAAAAGAACGTATCACGCAAAACGTTGTATTTTCCCATTACCACCTCAAGATGTCAGGGGCTCCTCTCAACATGTTTCTCTTAAAAATTCCTTTTGAATCTGTCATCTTGGTTCTGTGTCAGTCTTTTGACTCCCTTTTCTGTGTGTCATTCATACGGCAGGAACTTCTGTAAGTAATAACACAGAGAATTGGCAGTCTATCTCTTGTTACCTATCTTGAGTAGCAGACCCTCATGTTCGTAGTATACTCCCCACATCCAGGACTTGAAAGTCAAATCTGAGTTTTCCTTCACTATGCCCTTCATTATTTTTTTGATCTGAGTGGTAAAATTTTTCATCGTGATCTTTCCAGATTGAAGAGATGTGATATTTTTTGTCTACATTAGTCGTACCCACTGTCTCACTCTTCCCATCTTCTCTTGGCCTCTCGGTCCTCCTGGCCCTCTCTCTGCCTTGTCTACTTTGTATGAGTTATCATAACCATATGATACAGTATACTTGAATAGAAAATAGAAACATGAATTTTATATATTTGATTTCTTTTAATCCTTTCTCTGCTTGATCAAAAATCTAAGGATGCTAATGACGCTATTTCAGTTCATGTGAAATGCCACTTTTTTCCATGGTTAAAATATTGAATATTTCTTCCTTTTTCCTACTATGCAAACATTTAAAAACATTTAAGATAGGGAATTTTTTTATTAGTATATGTTTGCAGTTTGCATTAATCTTTGAGGAGTGGTGCATGCACATAGCACAGCTTGTTTCTTTTTTTAATCCCCTTGCCCTTTCCACTCGCTTCCCTCCCCCTCTTCTAAATCTCCTTTGCCCATTTTCATTTTTGTTATTTCTATTCTTAGCTCATGATTATAACATACCATGCTTATTTTCATTGTGAGTGGTTAGTACCTGTACATGGCATTTCATAAGCCTTCTTCCTTCCTCTTTTGCTTCCCTCCCCAACTCCTTTTGTCTCCTGGATTCTTTGCCAATTGCATGAGAGCGATCCTCTTGTTTCCTTCTCTCCATCCTTTATTTTGCTCTCTGTACTTTGTCTTATTCAAATGAAAGATTCCTGGAGAGATAGCTCAGCAGTCTAAGCACCTGCCTGGCAAGTGCAAAGACCCAGGTTTGACCCCTGGTACTGCATGCTGTGCCAGCTGCTGAAACGAGGCATGGTGGTGCACATCTGTAATCCCAGTGCTGGGGAGGCTGAGACAAGAGGATCAAGGGGTCAAAGCTGCATAGCAAGACCCTGTACCAAATAAATAAATAAATAAAAGGTTAAAAAAACTGAAAAACTATGAGAGTTTCCTTTATGATATTTAAGCTTGTGTGTGATTTATTTCACTGAACATTGTATTTTCTAGGTGCATCCATTTTCTTACAAGTGTCCCGAATTTATCCTGATAGTCTCGTAGTATTCCTTTCATGTATCCATTTATCTGTTGATGAACTTAGAGGCTGCCTCATGCTATTATGAATTGTACTGCTGTAAGTGTTGTTGTACATGTAAGACGATGTCTTTAGCCCATTGGGGAAGGAGGAGGAATAACTGGGTCGCATATACAATTTTCAATTTTGGTTCTTTGGGAAATCTCCATACTGATTTCCATAATGGTTATACTCGTTTACATTCCCAACAACAATGGAGAAGGGTTCCTTGTTCACCTCACCCATGACTTTTGATGATTGCCATTCCTACTGGTGTAAAAATGAAATCTCAGTATTATTTTAATTGGCATTTCTCCAATGGCCAGTGATGTTGAACATTTTTTCATGTGTTTGTTGGCCATTTATATTTCTTCTTCTGAGAAATGTCTTTTCATTTCACTTGCCTGTTTTTTAGTTGGATCTTTCCTTCAGGGTGATATAATTTTTTATGGAGTCTAAATATTAGTCTTTTGTCTAAGAAATAGCAGGCAATATTTTTTTCCCATTTTGTATATTGTCTCTTTACTAATTGATTTCTTCATCATTCAGAAGCTTTCTAATTTGACATAATCCCATTTGTTGATTCTTGGTTTTATTTCTTGTACAGTTGGGGTTCTGTTCAGTAAGTCCTTTCCTATACCTGTGACTTCAACTGTTTTGCCTACTTTATCTTCCAGTAGTCTAAATGCTTTGGTTTTAATGTTCAGATCTTTGATCTGTTTTGTTTTAGTATATAGGTCCAGCTTCCGTCTTCTGTAGATAGCTGGTTTTCACAGCACCATTTGTCAAGTAGGCTATCTTTCTTCCAATGTAAGTTTTTGGCTTTTTTGTCAAAGATCAAAAAGAATGTGTCTGGGAACCTTACTGTATCCATATTCTGGTACAGAGCTCTGCATGTCTTTTTGTGCCAGTATCATGCCATTTTTATCACTTGTGCTTTGTAGTGCAACTTCAAGTCAGGTATTGTGATATCTCCTGCTTTGTTCTGGTTGCCCACAAGTACCTTTGCTGTTCTGGATCTCTTCTAGTTCTACATGAATTTTAGGATTGTTTTCTCTAGTTCTGTGAAGAATGCTGCCAGAGAGATGTTTTTTAAAAATGTATTTTCTCCAAAGAATGAGCAATTCAATAATTTCCTTATAGTTTCTTATACCTTCTTATACCCTTCTGTTTCTTGTACCTCACAGACTTTCCTTCTTGAGTATCTTATGACTCAGGGCTGAGTCCTTTGAGGCAAAAAAAGAAAAAGCTGCAGATATCAGTTACTGAGTCAGGCCCACATTTGGATTCTTGAGAGTACAGTGCAGCAGTGTTGTTTTGGTCTGAATCTCTTTTTGTTTTCTGATAAAACAAACTAACCCCGAGGAAAGATGTTTAGAAAGTAATCAAGGTCCCGCTTCCTTCACATACATGCGTCTGTGAATTCCAGAAAGTTAGTACCTTAATCACATTTTAGTGACTTATATCTGGCTATAAATATCATTTGGAAATGTATATTTGTTAAGGTGTTTTTTGTTCTTTTTTTTGCAGATACAATATATTCAAATACGCCTCCATTGCCCTGGTGTCTGTGGGCATATTTATTTGCACTTTCATGTCAGCAAAGCAGGTGGTAAGCATCAGTTCGCAGATCCTCTATAGTCACTAATCACCATTAAGGCTTAGTGACCAGACACTGTTTAATAATAAAGTAGATTGAAATGCTTATGTAATACTGTAGAAAATGGTCCTATCTCTGAAGGGAAAGAGTGGAGAGGAATGAGTGACATAAATATTTCCTTTGTATCTCAGCACATTTCATGTTGTTCTGGTCTGTGTACCAAATATATTTTCCTATTTTCTAGACTTCCCAGTCCAGCGTGAGTGAGAATGATGGATTCCAGGCATTTGCGTGGTGGTTACTAGGCAAGTACAGTAATTACAATAAAGCTAATTGCCTCTGCAGTTGTGTTTGCTTGGTTTTCTCCTAAGGGAGACGTTTCTTGGCAAGAAACTTCAGCTAAACAAATTATGCCATGGAAGAAAGGGGTATCTAGGGTCATATATCTCTGACCTTAGCATTCAAGAAATGGGAAAAGAACACATCCACAGCTCAGGATGTGGATGCCATGTTTTTCTTGGTTGCTGTTGACATAGAAGTGTGTCTCCTTGCATGGGGTATCATCCATGTCTTCATTACCTTTACTAAATGGAGTACTCCGCAAAGGAAGGGCACATGGGAGCCATTGGCTGTTCAAATTTCCAAGGGACCCATTTCTAAATCTTAGATTTAGTTTCTTTGCAGGTTAGCTGTCCCATATGGCAGTGTTCCCAAATCTAACTGATCATTAGAGTCTCCGGGGAGTTTTTTAAAATACAGCTACCTCTGTATGGAATTAATTAGGTAACTTCTGGAGAGGCTTGTTCTCACCCTGTATGATTTCGAGGGGAGAGTTTCCTGGTGCTTCCAGTAGTAACAACAGATTGACACTGACCAAGGGGAAGAGAAATAGTGATGAAAGAACTATGTCCTCCTCACTTGTTAGTTTTTAACTTTACCTTTGTAAGTTGCTGTTTTTAAGATTATTAGAAAAAATACTTTATGAGCTATTAGAAAAATACTTTAACCTAAAGAGAAAATTTTGCAAAGATTATGGACATATAATTCATGGGAAAAAATTAATGTCTAATAATTCTACATTTCTTCCTCACTAGTCTCTTTGTCAGAAAAATTCAAATTAAAACTAAAATATAATTCTTTATTTTTGGCCTATCATACTGGCAAAATGATAAATGATTATTTTCTTTTTTTTTTTTTTGGCGGAACCAGGGATTGAATTCAGGCCCTTGCGCTTGCCAGGGAAGCGCTTATTCCACTGAGCCATCTCCCCGGCCCCAATAAATGATTATTTTCATTTCTGCTGAGGATGCAGTAAGACAACCATTTTTATATAAACTATTGGAGGTATACATTGACACAGCCTTTCTAGAAGAATATTGTTTATTGAGTTTTTAAAGTGTCCACAACCGAGGACCCAATTATTCCATTTATGAGATTATATCATAAGGAATTAATTCACATTTTGTTTAAAGATTTGTGTACAAGGATGTGTATTGATTTTAATTTTGAAATAATCTAACCATTGTGATTATAAGACATTTAGGGTATGTCACAACCACATGGTAGAAATAATATACAGTCATTAAGTCATACTTTTGAAAAAAATATAATAAAGGACTAGAAGGAAAAATGAAAAACATAAGAAAGGCAAAATATAAAATATATATAAAACGTATAATTGTATATAAAATATAAAAATATACATATTTATGTAGAAAACTATAAAGCGCTGAATGGTGGTATTGTGATTTTTTAATGTATTTTTTTAAAACTTCATATGTCACAGTTAATTATATTTATAAATTATATAATTGTACTCATGTTTATAGAAGTATAAATAATGTTCTTTAGGAAAATATCTAGAAATTAATAAGTGCTGGTACCTTGTGACTTGATGTTTGTTTTGTAGGCATTGGGGCACTGACTTTCGCACTTCTGATGTCAGCAAGGATGGGTATATTCCAAGAGACTTTATACAAACAATTTGGGAAGCACTCCAAGGAGGCTTTATTCTATAATGTAAGGAGCTCTTAAATCTGGGGAAGTTGACAATTCCTGCATTGTAATGTGTTTTTTCAAGTGCATTTCTATTGTAGTTGAAGGATCAGTTTGTTATCAGTAAACAGTGTAGAGACAAGACTGTCTGACTTGATAGGGTGCTGATGTGTGCTTGGAGCCAGCTGATGACGGATGATCATCACCAAGCAATATGCATAAAACACGTTAACCAGGAGCAACCCCAAAGGATGGAGAGCTCTAACTCACAGCTTTCTTGTAGATGAAATCAGGAAACCTATAAAGGAGAAATGAGTCCCCGAAGCAGCAGGCCAAGGAAACGTGTACAAGCAGATGTCGGATAGTTTGGGGAGGTTGTGGTCCCCAGATGGGCTTTATTCATCTGAGAGAATGTAATTAATTATATGTGCTTTGTTTGCAACTTTTGATCTTGTACCATCTTCTTTAACTTTTCCTCTTTCTCCTCTCTCTCTCTCTGCTATATACCAGAACCTTGCTCCTTAAGGTCAGGGTGAGACAGTTGCCTCAACACGCAGTTACCCGGGGATTCCATTACTGTTCACTTCTTGTACTACAGAAATAAGCAGTTTGAGAGATTTAATTGGAGCTATAGTATGTGACTGTGAATTTTTTCTACATTTTATTTGGTTTCACTCTTTTATTTACAACATACTGGGCTCATAGTGACTGCTCAGTACTAACTGTGCCCCATTGTTGCTGTTGTGGTATAGTGATGCATGGTTTTTGTCATGCGTCTCAGTCTTACACAGTGTGTCTTTTTCCTTTTCAGCTTCTTCTTATTCTTGTCTTAATTTCTTTTCCTTTGGCCTTCTACTGTCATCTCTCTCATACTAGCTTTCTAAATTTTCTTAAAACCTGCCTCTGCCTTCTTTGTAATTTTAAAATCTATTATGTCTGTTTAATCTTTCTCAAAAATAATAAAATATAGCGAATCTTTTTGGGCAGAATGATTGTGTGTTTAAGTTTCCTGTTGCCCTTTCTTGAGGAAAGGATGCTTTACTTTGCTTTGTCTGTGACACCCTGCGTTGCTTTGTGTGTGATGGCCATCAGACTATAAAGACAAGAAGCACACATTAGTTGGTAGCAAGCAGTTGATAGCATGCAATATTATGTTATGTATTCGGGACCGTGAGACACATTTAATTTAGTAACTCTAACTTCCTTTATATTATTTGTTAAAACAATTTATATAACTTAGTCATTGTAAAGCTACTGTACTAGTTCTACAATGTTTTACATTTAATTCCAATGAAATGTGAACCTTTGTAACTGTTTCTTCCCACAGCATGCCCTTCCACTTCCTGGCTTTATCTTCTTGGCCTCTGATATTTATGACCATGCAGTTCTCTTCAATAAGTCCGGTGAGTTTAGGGTTATGTGGTAGGAATACCCGCTGGTTTCCAAGACAGACTTTCAGTTTTACTTTTGACTTGGTCAGTTGCTTTTTTTTTTTCCCCTGCACATTCTTATCTAAATGATCTGTCCCTCCCTAGCCATCTACCTTCCAAGAATAGACATTGTGTTATTAATCAGTAGTTGCAGCCTCAAATGCTTGCACAGGCACATTATCATTATTTGCAAATCAAGTAAAAGAACATTCTTAAATTTTCTCTTTTGCTTTGGCATTTATGTGTTTGCATTTGAACATGCAATGTTAAAAGTTTTGAGAATGACAGCCAGTAGCAGCTGCACACGCAGTAGGGTCTAGAGCCCTGTTTAGTCGGGTAGCCGTCTGGCTCTTCTTGGTTCCCTTCATCCTTTCCTGCTGTGGAAGGGGGGGCTGCTCACATATCCAGGCTGCTGGGCCCCGGGCAAGCTTGGGCAATGTGATGACAGCTCTTACTTCCTTGCTCCTGGTTAGATAGGCAGTAAGATCTGCTATCAAAATGAGACACTGGGGCTTGGAATTGGCTGAACTAGTGTGGAAAAGGCCCTGGGTTTCATCCTCAGCCCTGTAGTGATAGTGGTGGTGATGGTGGTGATGGTGATGATAATATGTCTTTGCAGAACTGTATCAGCTTCCAGTCGTCGGGGTGACCTTGCCCATCATGTGGTTCTACCTGCTCATGAATGTTATCACGCAGTATCCTTTGGATCCCTTTACCATATTTATGTCTTCTTTGTTATTTTAACACAGGAATGTTTATTCTTTTCTTCCAACAGTATGAGGAAATGAGTCTGGTTTTATTGCCTTGATTTTTTTTCTGTAGCAAATGGGAAGCAGAGACCCATTGAGGGAGCTTCTTTTCAGGAAGACTGGTGGTACAGTGGGTCAGTAAGCCAGTGGGCAGCAGGGAGGAGATGCTCCCTGTGGAAATGGAGGAGCCCGCTGATTCAGTACAAACAGTATATGTTACCAGTGATCTGTGAGTTTTGTATTCAAGTATATTTCCAATTCTCACAAATTGCCACAAAGTTCTGAAAGAAATCACAAATTAATGGAGACTTAAATGGCCTGAAGTGTATTGTGTATCTCTTACAAAGTGATACAAAATGTTGTTAACTTCATTCCTTTGTAGTTGTTTTATGGATTTGCCATAAAATTCTTTCATGTAGGGTGGGACAAGAGAAAATGAAGGTGGATGGGATCTTACTATCACTACATTGGAAGTGACCTCTGTTGTTATAAAAAGAATCCAAAATAAGGATATGGAATGTTTTTAGGTAGTTTCAAATTGTGACCTATAAATGGGATGGCAGGACAGTTCTGTAGAATGTTCTAGTGAGCCACAGCAGACCCTCATATTTTTGTAGAATGTGAAAACATAAGCCATGAACCACCAGAAGGTTCCCTCACTGACCTCCCAAATACACCTTACAGAAGCTGCCTTAACTCTACTCCTCTAGGTATGTGTGCATCCGGGGTGTGTTCATCCTCACGACAGAATGTGCCTCCCTCACCGTCACACTTGTTGTGACTCTACGCAAGTTTGTGAGCCTCATCTTTTCCATCTTGTATTTCCAGAACCCTTTCACTCTGTGGCACTGGTTGGGTACCCTGTTTGTCTTCATTGGGACGTTAATGTACACAGAGGTGTGGAACAACATAGGAACCACAAGAAGTCAACCGCAGAAGGATGACAAGAAGAACTGAACTGAACTCAGTGTTTTATGAACGTGGTGTCTAGCAAAGGTCTGGCCATTTCACTTTGGGTAATGCCACGTTACCCCCAGTATTAAACTAAACCTATCCCAGAGAATCCTCAGGAGTGGACACCTTCAGTTTCCATAGCTATCTGGGCTGCGTTTATAAACTCCAAGTAGATATCTTCAGCCCTAAAAATAGAAAAAAAGAATACTTCCATTGAGGAGTCTATTGATTTACTATTATTGTTTTGTTTGCCAGAATATTCAGAATTATACTTGTTGAATTCCAGTGTCTAGAGCTACTAGTTTTCTAGCTGTGGTCCCAGACAAGATTGTGCCTTTGTTGCTGTTCTCATGTTTCTCTGCCATAGCGGTTGTTTCCATCCTGTGGCCATGTCCCTTCCCCATCCTGTCATCCCTCCTCGCCTCAGCGGCACTTTGCAATCTGTCACATGCTCCAGGCCCCATCATCCCCTGAAGAGCAGAGCAGTGAATGAACTGAGACCCCAGGAATGTCAGGGGAACTTCTTCCAGCATTTTGGAAGAGAAGTAGGTGTCCACATGAGCTGAGCCCTGGAGTAGAGTAGACTGGCTGACTCTTCTTTCTCATATTTTATTCCACCCCCCCCACGAAGATCAGAGGCTTGGAATAATTCTGTAGCATCTCATGGCATGATGCCAGCATGAGAGAAAGGGTCTGTATGGATTGGGCAGAAGGAGAGAGATTTTTTCCTCAGTCCTGCATATAAAGCCCATTAGCTTATCACTAAGATGGGGACAGAAGCCTGGCCCAGAACAGTTGGGCCTGCTCAGTCCCCTGAGAATCACAGCCTTTCCTGGCCCTGCCAGGTGGGAGTATAAGCCTATGAAAGCCTTCAGAGCCAGGAAAATTCGCTCTCCCTGGTCATTAGGACAGGCATCACCAGCCAGGTAAATAGACTAAGCTGTATTATAGGTGTGGGTGTGGTATCTAAATCAGGTCAGATCACAAATACAGCTCAAAGCTACTCTCTTTTTTTTCTATAAAGTATCTCTAATGTTCATGTTGACTATTTGGGAAAGATTTGTATGTGCTTTATTATATCTAGAAACATGCTCCTCTTTGGATCATTTCTTGGATCTGCTTTTCTTCTGAAGGGATTGTGGTGACAAGGAATGACATCAGTAATGTACATGGTGTGTGTGGTTCTTGTGCACCTGAAGAGCATGGAAATTGGTGTCTTTTATTTGCTCTGTCTGTATTTAGTCCCAGTCCCTCACTAAAGTCAGCGACCACTTCTCTTTTTTCTGTAGGCAAAGGCCTTTCACTTAACATTTGGTACAAACTGCACTCTGAAATTGAGATGTGGCTCTCTGGGTCACCCAGGCTTGCTCCTGGCTGTCTGCTTCACCAGCAAGATAGTCTCTGATAAGTCCGAGCAGGGGCAGTGAGGAGAAATATCCTTAACCAGTGGACTGCTTGGGGAAGACATTCAAGCTGTCGCACTTCTTTCGTTACTTAAAATACGGCTGCTATTTCTGCCACTAAATCCCTGGGTCAGGCTTGCAAGCTGATTTGTTACTGTAGATACTGATATCTTCCAGGTAATGGTCTGTTCTCAAACATCGAATTGGATGTGAACCCATTCATGGACTCAAAAACTACTTGCTTTGAAAGATGTGGAGTTCTTTGGATTGATGGAGCTATAAATATCAAATGTTAACTATCCTCTTAAAAAAGAAAACAACAAAAGCTACTTTTTCTTGCTACTTAATAGAAGATTCTGTCCCTTGGGGCTATTTGATTGCTGCAGATCTAGAGTTTCTGGTAGCCCTCAGTGGGACATAGCCTTACCTAACATAGCCCCATTTTATGTTGATGGGAAATACTACCATTTATAGTTACTTGAGATGGGCTAACATACAGTCAGGATTTAACTAGGCCCATCAGATTTTGGATTCTTGTGTTAAACTAGGTTTCTCTCAGAGTGAGTACCTCCCCCAGTCTTGTCAAAAAAGAATATTGTACATGTGGGGGGATAATAGATTAGAGCACCCACATAACAAAGTGAATACCCACAGGTGCTGAATACTGGAAATACTGTGAGTTGTTTTTATCTCTGGTTGTTAAACGTAAGTATGTTTAATGGACACCATTGAATACTTTTTCAACTACTCTTTTAAAAAATTTATTCCCCTTGGTTACCTGATTCTTTACAATTCAGGTTAAATGTTTTTCCAATCTTTATTTTTAAAATGGGCAAATAAACCATTTTATAAAGGATCCAACTCATACCTGAATAGAGGAGAAATATTCATTGCCTTTTCTTTCTCTGGGTCAACATCATGGATATTGTGTTCAGAGATGTAAAGCATATAGTTAGTTTATAAAGAGATTAGTATTTAAGACATCTGTGGTTATTCCCGGGAACAAAGATAGCAAATGATACCAGCAGCACTTATTTGTGTGTACCTGTGTGTCTACTTACCAGCTTGGCTAGTACAGTACATAAAGTAGGAAAAAATGGTCCATGCTTAAATTATTAAACTTACTTAATATCTAGATAGTCTTTATGAATATTGTATTGTCACATTGTAATGCTTTTTTCATTTTTATCAGTAATTTATTTTTTAATTAATTCAGTGCTTTAAAAAAATTCAGAGTTAAAGGTAGAACCCAGGGCCTTGCAGATAACATATATTTTTTTTCGCCCAAGTAAAACCACCATTAATATACTTGGTAAGTTTATATCAAATTCTATTTAGGCACAATCCAAATAGTGGTTTTGTTTTCTTTTTTTCCTTCTTCCTGCTCAGATATGGAAAATGAAATGCTGTAGTACTTGGATTTGGTCAGTAGTAGAAGCAGGTAAAAACTGAGTTGATTTATGCCGTCTTCTGTTCAGGCAACAATACATGATAGTTTTCAAGGGCTCTTAATAGATAGACATTTCCTGAGTAAATCACACCCCACCCTGCTTCTTCACTGTCAGTCTCTTCACTACAGCCTCCGCTCGCGTGTGGAGTTTTTCACCCGGCAATACCTGTCATCGCCTATCTCTGTGTGTCTATTCCTTGGGCCTCTGGGTGGTCTTGTGGATTTTTACGAGTTATTTATATTTGTGCAGCATGTATTTTGTTATACACTTTTATAAGCATTGATACTTCACAGAGTGCATGAATATATGTATAGATGCGTGAGAACATGAAGGGTTAGTATGCAACTGTTGCTGTTTTGTTACAGTTCAGAGCAGAGGTGAGGCTCTGCCACCAGTCCCTTCTAATTTGGAAAACATTTTTCTTATGTGGCGCTTTTTACTTCACTCAGCACTGCCAGATAAACCAATAGAGAGGGGAAGTACGAAACATTAGGAGTAATTCTGAGCCATTGACTGAGTGCTGGCTGCTGGATGTGTTCATCAGGGGACCAGTTGTTACTGACCTGTACAAATAGACAAACTCATGGAGAAAAACAACATCGTAGAGATATGAAGCCAAGATCCAGCATTTGTTGTGTATTGTATTTTGCCTTTTTTTTTTTTCTTAGAATAAATAAAAATCATGAGTAGTTCTGCCCTTATTGTATAACCAAACCAGTTTGGTTAGGGTTGCTTTCTTCTGAAAAAAAGTGACTGAATTTTATCAGTAGCAGTTCTTGCATACATCAAAAGAACTGTTGATATAGCTAAAAGCCATTCACTGGTATGTAGTGGGTATAACATTGGAGAAAAGTTGTAAACCGTATTTGTAAATAAAGAATTAGTCCTCAGTCTTGGAATATATTCAGTGTGCCCAAAGACTGGCCTCGGTTTGGTAGTATGTTCTCACTTTGCAGCAGTTTCCGCACTGCAGATGTTCCAGAGATGGAAGAACCAGGGATCAAATCTGGTTGGTTTCTGTCCCACCACCCCCTGGCATAGCGTCTGACCTGTGTTACATGAATAAATGAATGCTTGCCATGAACAAATGAATGCTCCCTCAAGTTTCTGATAAACCTTTTAATGATTCCTAATACTGTGCCCACTCTTCATCAGCTGGTTAGCAGGAAAGCTAGTAAGGGTGAACATGCCAGAAGATCCTCAAAAGAGAAGGGGTGGAGGAATGTTGGGAGATTGGAATATTATGTAATGCACTACCACACTTTTGGCACTTTTGTCTGTCTGATGGTAGGAGGGAAGAACATTATATAATTAGCACCTTACCTGTCTTAGCACCTTCTTACTCAAGAAGATAATAAAGAGATGCCAATCCGAGCATTAAAGATTCCTAAGAGTTTTTGAAGTGGCTGCCTAAGGTAAGCAGCACCACCCTCCCATGCCCACTGCCTGGTGGTGGTAACGTGTATTGGCTGCTGCCTGGAGAGCATTGTGTATTTGTCAGTATCAACCTTGGGTGCCTACCCTTAGCTTTACCTGCTTAAATTTCTGCTTGCTGTCCGTCTTCCCAAAAGGTGAGTTGCAGGGAAACCAGAGATAGGAAAGAAAAGAACACTCATGCTCCCTTAGAAATAAGGCCCATACTTAAGAAAAAAGTCGTGATCCCTTTGGCACATTGAATTATGTCTTTTGAGATGTGAAGAAGACTTCTGTTAACAAAAGAAGGTTGTGGTGATTCACCCCAAAAAACATCTAAAAAGCTAAAAACAATTTTTTTTTGTGTCACTTACAATTGCAAAGTCATCTTTATGCTGTTTGCTTTCCTTCCAAAAAGTGGCCTCATCTTTCAAAAAAGATATGCAGTTTCCTAAAAAAATTATGGGTAATGGATGGAGGGGGAAGTGAGGCTTTTATGTGTTCAGCCTCTGAATTCTTCATTGAGTATTACGTTTTAGGAACAAAGACCAGGGGAGGAATGGCCTAGCAGCCAAGTGTGCAAAACAGCCAAAAGACATTAGAGAGTGTTCAAACTTGAGCTGTATAAATATCCAGCATCAGCTTCCAGCCTTAAGAGTTATTTGAACAGAGAGTTAAGAAAATGGAGATTTTGTGAATGAAATGTTTTGCCAAACTAAATGAGTCTTTTCACCATCATTTCTTAGAGCCATTTTTTATCTTCTGAAACAACTCAGCAGACATCTGGTTTTCATCTTGGATTGTACCATCATTGTTTCTTAATAAAAGTGATAAATTTTCTGCTGGTGTCCCTGTCACCATTACCTTTCAAGTGCCTGTGTGTAGTTTCAAATGCTCTCCATTTTTTACCATGTATAGTGGTGGAACATTTTACTATAAACTATTGTTAGCAGCCCGTCTTCCTAATGCCTCACAGCTGGATCAATAAAAGGTTACTTGTTAGGCTTCAGCCTAGTTCTGCTCTGGAAATTTAAAGCAGATCAGCCTACTTTTGGAAGTTCTAGAGGTTCATGTAAGTTTCTGCAAAATCTCTAAACCTGTTTGCCTTAATAGAAAGACATTGACTTTCATAATGCTGTAGTGACTAGCTCTTTCTATTTTAGTATGCTACTTTTACATAAACCTTGGGGGGGGCCTGGCCCTAGCTCAGGCCTTTAAGTGGCTGCTTCCACAAAGCTGTCAGCCTCAGGTTGCTGCAGTTCGAACCTCACAACTCTCCCGCTGGCCAAAAGTGCCCTGAAGGCATTTGAGGAACCAAAAAAAAAAAAACCCTTATTACATAAACCTTAACACAAAATCATTCTGAAAGCACCTCACCACACTGCATCTGTTTTAATTGTGTCATGCAGTAGCCCCATGTACAGAATGCAAAGAGAAAAAACAAAGACTTTTGCTCTAGATACAACTATTAAAATTCATTTTTTAAAATCTTCTAGTGCATTTTTATTAGAAAGATGATGCTATATGTCCTTAAACAGCTCAAGAATAGTCTTAGCTTTTGAAGTTTTGTTTTTGACATAGGGTCTTGTACATAGTTCAAACTCAACCTTGAACTCATTTTGTAGCCCAGGCTGACTTTGAACTCTCAGTGATCCTCTTGCCTCAGCCTCCCAAGTGCTGGGATTATATGCTGCCACACCCAGTTTCCCCTCCACTCTTAAATCATAGACATGTTGAACTCTAAACTTAGGAACCCTGTGATTCTGGTCAGCTGCAAAACACTTGCAGATAGTGCCATGGTATCACCACCCAAGAAGTCCCTCATTCATGAGCGGTATAAGCTTGTAGGTGGATGTCAGCAAAGATTTAGTTTCTTTGTCACATCTTAAATTCAGCTTTCTAGCAAAATGAAAAATGAGTGCAGGTCAACGAATTGTGTGCTCAGGTCAAACATTCCTTTTAAAAAGAAAACACATCTGGCTATGCAAGTATTAATAAAGCTTTTCCATGTTCTTCATCTGCAAACTAATAAAATTATCTCATCATTAGAATTAAGATATTTTGATGCTCAGTTGTTTCTTAACACTTCAAGGAACTAGCATATGGTTCTATTATTACATATGACTCCTTGATGCACAAGTGTGTTCTAAAGCTAAGCGTAGGATTGTAATTACTGAAATTTATTATTTCCAATAATAGCTTTGGATGGCACTGCCTAAATACCCTGTCTTCATGAAGGTTGTATATCTGTATCAATCTCCTCGAATCTTTAACATTGTTAAAATAATGCTTTTTAGCAATTGAATGGAATGACATGGTAATAATAAACATTTCCCATGTGTGAAGCATTTAACTTATGACTTAACCCTCATGACAAAAGAGAATTATCCTGGATTTACAGATAAGAAAAGTGAGCCAGAGAGGAGCTACTTAACTTGCTTCAGTTCATATGTGTTGGAGCCAGGATGTGAGCCCCTGATACCGATTCTAGATGCCATAATTCTTAATGGCACTGTGCAGCCTCTAAAATTGGAGTAAGAAGATCAAACCGCCTTCCTGCTTTTTTTTTGGGGGGGGGGCTCCTTGTTTGGGTTTGATCTCTGCATGCTAAATGTTATCAGCAAATCTGGGACTTGTCTTTTTACCATGTTGATACACATCTGAACCCATATCCTATTTCATACCTAAAAGATTATGAAGTATTCTGTAGGAAAAGCAAGAAAGCAAAACCTAGAACATTGCAATAGTCTGTTCAAATCAGAGCTGAGCTAGTGATTGTTCACACGTGCAGAGCCAAACATGGGGCACAGGAGGCAAGCTAGTTAAACAAAGGGGTATCATGTGACATCAACCTGCTAAGTGCATAAACGTGCTGTGGTGGTTGAGCAGTTCCTTTCCTTCCATCTGGAGAGAGGGCTCCACCTGACCTCAGCTTTTTTGGGTGGGCAGGGGGGCAACCGGGGTATTGAACTTAGGCCCTTGCGCTTGCCAGGGAAGCATTTATTCCACTGAGTCATCTCCCCACACCCCTGACCTCAGCTTTTTGTATATTCTCTTTATTTCTCCATTCTTGCTGCTACATGCTCCCCACCCCCTAAATTTGGGGAGCTGTACTGGATGCAGCACCTAGTTTCTCTGAGTTCTGAGCCAATAAACAATTATATTATCCACCTGGATAAATGCCATCTCTGAATTATACTTTGATAATAAATCTTTGAGTGTTATACAAGGATATTTTACAATAGTTTCAATTTTGGTAATTCAGTGTCTTTGGCACAAAAAGGTTTTAGTGGATTATCCATTATCCACTAGATTGCTTAAAATCCCTCATTCAAACAAGATTCAGTGCTATATATTGTTCAAATTTTAGTTTGTGAAAACATTTATCTCTGCAGATATGTTTGCACATGTAGTCTTAATCAGAAAGTGAAAACCATCATCCCTTTTCAACAGATTTATTAGGCTTATGTTTGATGGCTATATATCTGTGTCAGTCTCCTAGAATCTTTAACATTGTTAAAATAATGCTTTTAGCAATTGAGTGGAATGACATAGTAATAATAAACATGCATTTCCCAAGTGTGAAGCATTTAACTTATGATTTAACCCTCATGACAAATTATTAACATAAGAGAATTATCCTTGATTTGCAGATGTATGTCCAGCATTCATCACTTAACCTAACGGTTTCTTTCTTTCATACAGGTGCTAGGCAGATTGGGGCTGGTTCAGCTACTCATGGAAGTTGTCAGAGTAAGCAAGTGAAAGCTGCTGTAAGATAACACATCTGCAGAAAGCCACGTGTGCACATGCTAGCACCAGGGGAGCAGCCATGGCTTCTGCTCCATTTCTCCCTCACAAGTACTTATCATTAAGAGGAATCTGTCCCAGAGCCATGCTGGCAAAGATTATGGGAAAAGGAGAATCCTAACCCTCTGGTTAGGGGAGAGATAAGATGAGGAAAAACAAGACTGAATTCCCAAGAAGTTCACCCCTCCAGTTGGACTATTTAACTTCCAGACAAAAATCAGTCTTGACTCTGCCTACTACGATGCTATGACATGTGTTCCTTGAATGTTTATGTGCTAGAGTTTTGGTCCCCAGTATGGTAATGTTGATATGGTGGAACCTTTAAAAGGTTGGGCCTAGTGGAAACAGGTCAAGTGTGTGCCACTCCCAGGAAGGATGACATTCTCATGAGACTGGGGAGTTACCTGAAGAAGGGTTTGCTATAAGAAGAGTGGGCCTGGCCCTTGCATCTCTGGCCTCCTGTGTCACTGTGTGATCCTTGCTGCTATGCATTTACCATGCAGTTCTTCATCATTTTGTTCCCCAGACAGGGAGCTCTTGCCAGAACACTGATACCATGCTTATGAACCTCCAAAACCGATCCATTTAAACTTCTTCTTCTTCTTCTTCTTCTTCTTCTTCTTCTTCTTCTTCTTCTTCTTCTTCTTCTTCTTCTTCTTCTTCTTCTTCTTCTTCTTC